TTTTTGTTATGTCACTGATTTTATGTTATGTACATTTCTGTTAGGTATTAAATATTTAAATACTATTATTATTATTAGTTATATTTTCCCAGTTTGTAAACTTACTGACAAATGTTGTTGATACTAAGTGTAGTGATATAAACAGTCATCAGATACATTTATGTTATGTACACCGGTATTATATAATTCAATAATAATAACAAATATAAATGACATTTAAGAGGGGTTTTGAGATTTCATAAGATGCCTGGTCCTACCTTTGTGCCTTGTAACCTAGTACACTTTAAACAGTAATATTTTATAAATTTTAAATTCTCAATGTATTTAGTGGTAATGGAGGTTGTTAGGTATACCAAAAAAGAAAACAGATGACTATTTTAAATATATTATGTTTCTTAAATGTAATAAATAATGCAATTATTTAATAATTAAATGGCTTATGATTAGTTATCCAATTAATTTACTTGCATAATTAGGGCCAGTTGTACCGTCTATGATTAAACTATGATTAAGCTTAATCAACTGGTAACAGATATTTAACCGGCCAAATTTGGCCGATTAAACTGTGATTAACTTTAATCAGAGACGGTGCAACTGGCCCTTACAGTGGTAATTATAGTTATTATAAATATATCTTTTTTATCTATATTAATTAACCTACTTTTTTAATAAGAAATAGAAAACATATTTTAAATAGGTACTTTCTTAAAGTATTTGATTAGTAATTAAAATACATTTGATCAAAAAAATGTTTACAACACTTAATTTAAATATTCTGTAAATATAATTCATTTTTCAATATTTCTTTGATTTGTAGAACCTGTATGATGGATTTAAACCCCAAAAAAATAACAAAACAGAAAATTATAAACATAAAAGGTATGTAATTTTGTTTTTAACATTTATGATCTAGAGAAAAAGTCTCCAAACTATGGCCCGCTGGCCAGACACGGCCCTTGGCCCGCATAGGACACTGGTAAATATAGGTAAAAAAATTATTTATAACATTTATTTATAGGTATTATATTTATATTTATTTTTATTTCAGTTTATTGTAAAGTAAACAATATTTTATAAAAAAATGTAAAGTAAATCCCAGTAAATATATTTAAATTGGTACCTATATTTTCATATTTTCATAATTTTTAATTTTACTTTAATTTTATTTTAAAGTTAATAAACTTTTGGCCTGCTAAGTGCATTTGATTTTTTTTGTTGTGGCAATTGAATAAAAAAGTTTGGAGACTCCTGATCTAGAGCATAGGTAGTAGTGATTTCAAATGTTGTATTAAACAATTCATTTTTTTTACTCATCAGAGATTATGAATTTCTTGAACTTATTTATTAGCTTTTAATTTCAGTAAATAAAAACAAATTTTAACTTTATTTTTAATCAAAAGTTTTAACTCAAACAATCTTAAGTTATTTATCTACTGATTTTGAAAATTACCTATATATGAGTAGGTATGATAATATATAAAATACAGTTGTTGATGTATTTTTAGATTAATAAAAAATTACATTATTCCATGTTTAATTTTATATCTTTAGTATTATCGGTCGCCCGAATCGTGTGTTACATTTGGATATTCTTCGGACTACCGTTAAAGTCACTACAGTAAGTAGAATAGTAAATAGACAAATGTTATACAACTATACCTATTATTATTTATTCATAATATATTTATCCATCATTATCAAAATAGTTTTTGAAAGTTAATTTTATTTTAACAGAATATAATCGTGAATATCAGTTAAAGCTTAAAATATTTTATACAATGTATAAAATGTTAGTTAACATAGTTCAAAGTTATTTTTATAAGTATTTTTCAAAAATCTAAAACCCTTAAGTAGTCTTAAGAAAACAATTTCAGAAAGAAAAATAAAATTATTTCAATATGATAGTTTATTTGTAATTAAAAAAAAGTGGGTCACTGTATAATGGATGGTATTAAATTAGAATTCAATGATATTATAATATTATCATTGTATAAGAAAAACGATTCTGAGTAGAGAAGGTATGTCAGCCTAGGTATAAGATATATTATATACTTATCTATGGGGTATTAAAAAAATTGACCTATAATAAGTACCTATAATAAATTCCAAATTAATCATATCACAATATCCATTAGGTACTTATAACACGTTATACATCAATATCAAACCCTGATCCTATCATAGATATATAAAAGTGTACTTTAGAAGTTTCAAGTACTCACGAATAATATTATACAATCACAACAAAATAACTAAAATAGTTATTCTAGGTTTTTAATATGTAATTTCGTTCAAAAATGAACTTAAAATGACAATAAAAATAAACTGTGCTTATGTATTTTTAAAGTTTTTGGTAACAGAATTAACTACTTACGTGGAATCTTGTTTTAAATTTTCATTTCTTAGGTATAAAAGTTGAACATTTTATACATTTTTAACTACAAAATAATTATTCAATTTTAAATTTGATAAATTTTGTCAAAATTCGATCTTTAAATGCTTATAAAAAAAAATTGTGTTTATGTATTTTTAATAATTTTTCAACTGATATTGTAACAATATATCAAGAGCCTTGTATTAAATTTTTACACTTTTTGGCCCAAAAGATAAAATTTTATTGATATTTATAGAATAAAAAACTAAAAAAATTGGAAACTGAAAATGTCCGTAAATAACTCAAAAAGAGTCAAAATATTTTCAAAATTGTATGGTGTTTAGGAAATGCTAATATAAACATTCAATGACATTTTCAAGTATCTACAGTTATTCGTTTTTGAAGTACAACAAAATAAGGAAATTGCTACATGAGAAATCGAGTGAATATCCAATGTTGTACAAATTTGAATTTCAAACGCTCATAAAAATTTAATTTGACTTATAGACTTTTTTTTTTGATAAAGGTAGATAATCTTATAAGGAATCTTGTATTACATTTTAAAACCTTAGATTTAAAAAGCAAAATTTTTACGAATTCTTAACTCAAAATAATTTGCTAATTTTCGTGATTTTTCCATATTTTGTCAATTTTTGAACTTTTTAAATGCTTATAAAAAAAAACTGTGGCTAAGGATTTTTAATATTTTTCATCTGCCTTTGAAACAATATACTAGGAGCATTCTATTAAATTTTCAAGCTTTTTTAACCAACAAATAAGATTGTATTGTTATTTTTAGAAAAACAACTAAAAAAAAATGGAAAGTATCTACTTTTATTTGTTTTAAAGTTACACCAAAAACCAAATTCAATTTTGTGAAAAATCGTTTTTGCTTGAAAATTCAAGTTTTTCCTTAATTTTACTTTTGTTTTTCTTGGCGCTTTTGAAAATTATTGTGAATTTCAAATGTTGACCTCCCCAATGCACCAACGATATTCACTTTCCAATCAAACAAGATACTGAAGTTGAAAATGGAAGCATTTTTGGGCGGTACTCTTTTCGCCCAAAAATGACCCTTCGCTATTTGCCCACGTCTCTTTTTGCCCAAATATTTTAAAACTACTTTCCCTTTTCGCCCAAGAATATTTAATAGCACTTTCCGACCAAATTTTTATAATACACACTTTGGGAAACACTTACTTTAAATTATTTAATTATTTATAATATATTATAAATTTGTTATATTTAAATTATTTATTTGTGTTAATTAGTTTTATAAAGCCATTTAGCATTACCCAGAGAGTACCACGAGGAGGCGGCTTCTATTACTCTCCAAAAATGTATTGTGTTTTTGTACAGTTTTTGTACATCAATATAATTTTTATATAATACAAGAGTAAGTTTTTATCAAAAGTATAAATCGTCAAAATTTTGATAGTATAATATTAAATAGAATAGTTAAATGACATTGATTTAATAAAATCATACCGATTAATTGTTCCTGCTTTATATTTTTGTATTTTTTCTTCATTTTTTTGCTGTCGATCTATAATTTTTTTATCTTCGGGACACCTTTGTAAATGTAAACTATTTAATTTAATGTAGACTTCAGTTTGAATTTCATTAATAACACTTAACCAGGCACTTATTGGTGGAGAAATATGATTAAAACTTTTGTTAAAAAAAGAATGAAAAGATTCACACGCGTTAGTTGTTCTTATTAATTCTGACGTATTAGATGCCCAAATACTCGGTGGAAATAATATCTTCTATAAGAATATCTTCAGATATGTAAGTATCGGTTAAATAGTCACAGTAATTTGTTAATTTGTCATTTACTTAAATTATATTAATGTACAAAAACACAATATATTTTTGGAGAGTAAGAGAAGTCGCCTCCTCGTGGTACCCTCTGGGTGTATATAGCTTTATAAAACTAATTAACACAAATAAATAAATTTAAATATGACAAATTTATTATTATGTCGGATACTAAGATAGTGAGATATAAATAATTTAAAGTAAGTGTTTCCCAAAGTGTGTATTATAAAAATTTGGTCGGAAAGTGCTATTAAATATTTTTGGGCGAAAAGGGAAAGTAGTTTTAAAATATTTGGGCAAAAAGAAACGTGGGAAAAAAGCGAAGGGTCATTTTTGGGCGAACGGGGTCTTGCCCGCATTTTTTTCGACTACTCATTGTGTACACACACAAAAAAAAAAAAAAAAAAACACTTCATTGTAAAATCAATACTTCACCGTTTTACTCAGAATCTAAAAAGCTGTTACAAATAAAAATTTTATCAAGTTCAATTTCAAACACATTTGATAATACCTAAGACTTAGGTACTCAAAATAGTTAATACCATTAATTAATTATGTTATTTATTTAAAATGAACTGACAATAGTTGAGAATGATTTAATAAATGAAACAGAATAATGACTTTCAACCATTTTTAGCATGTATTGTATTCAGTCCTGAGCATTCATGGAGAAATACTACGAATTGTTATATACAGAAAGTTTGGACAACTCAGGGCATTTGTTGAATATCCTTTTAATTTGTTAAAATTTTTTTTATATTTAATAATGGACTATTTAAAGCTAAAATGAATGTTATTATTTTAAATGGTTTTCTTAACTTTTTATTCAACTGTTCATACATTTAGCAAGGAAGAATTTGCAACAAAAGTATTTGGTGAATCTAATTATATAATTTTAGATTATATATCATTGAAGGCTGAATATGCTAAGGTATGTATTTTAAACTGAAAATAGTATATTCTTCTTATTGTAATAATTTGATAAATTAATTTTATGGTATCCATTATCCATAGACTTTTTGTGATTGCCAAATAATTGAAGCACTGCTAGGAAAGTTCTAGCTTTTCTCCTGAATATATATTACCTTACTAACACTAACTGCTTGTAACTACAACCGTGTAAATTAAATAATTAAACAAATGTTTAATTACTCAAAGTTCTAAATTAAACAGCTTTTGTCGTAATAAATTTGTTTTTCAAAAATATTATTCATTTAAAGTTTAAGTTGAATGACATTTTTATCAAATTAGATGTATTATTTTAAATAAAATAATTATTCTTACCCATCAAAATTTTGTTTTTATAAATGAGATTAATTATGAATTAATTAAGAGATCATTTATTTGTTAATGGAACAAATTTCAGATTTAATCACTATATAATAACTTAGAAATATGCCATTGTTAAACACTGTGATGATAGTTACTGAAAATGTTTACATAATAACCTTATAAACAAATTCTAAAATATGATTGTCCCCATTTAATTTAATCAAGCTCATTTGTTTGTCCACTGTGTTAACCTAATTATATTATATTATATTTGGAGTTCAAGTTGTATTTTTGCCAGTAGAAATATGTAAATAGTATTATTTTTAAATTAATGAATATTTACATATTATGTTTATTTCAGGCTTCCAGGATAAATGTATTAAATAATGACGAACTAACTTGGGATTACTCAAAGTCGCCCTTATTAGGTATGTTTATTTGTAATATTATATAGGAGAATACATGGAAAATATTTTAAGATTGTTTAATTTATTATTAATTTATTTATTTTTACACTTATAAAGGCGTTAATATATCTTTTACTGTTTGTATACCACTAGATTATGTTAATGGTTTACCTACACTGAAATCTATTGCCACTGTTTTAAAAGGTAACAAAACTTATCATATTATATTTTAACTTATCATTCCTATATCTATATAATTTCCTAATTTAAAAAACTTTTAACATGAATATTCCATGATAATATAATATATTACAATATTATATATTAAGTGCCTACTCACATAATGGGTGGGGGGAGTGAGGGTATCTTTGACTTCTTTTTTCTATTGATCAGGTGTTTTACATTATTGTTTTTATAGGATAGCTTAAAATTAAAACAGTGAAACTTCCATATTTGAACATGGTGAACAAAAAAAAATAGATAACAATGAAGGTCATGGTTCTCAAAAATAATTCTTTAAACAGAAAAATTTGTTGAATTGAAGTTTGTTGTATGGAAGTTTACTGTAACAAAAAAATACTTATATTAATATTGAATGTACCATATTTTTATATGAATGACTAGAAATTACGGATCCCAATTCTACACACTTAATGGTTAACACGTTAGAATTATGTAAAATGTCAACTCTGGTATTAGTTGAACATAAATACCAAGATTTATATAGGTACTTATTAAGAGAATGTAACAGTGGTATTTGCTGTGTCCGTCTTACTAGTGTGTGACATACCAAATTTACACTCAGAAGATCACATGTAGCTTCGCTAGTTTAAAAATAAGAGTGAATCTACCTATTATGAAACTTGATGGTAAGAATATTGTTTATGTTTGGACATGGATTTCTTACGATAATTCAGTTTTTAAGTGAGTTATGAGCATTTTTAATTTAATAATATGCTATATTTATATATTATATACGCATATGCTGAAAAATTGAACCATCCTAAAAAATCCAGATTGTAACACAGATAATGTTCTTACCATCGAGTTTCATAATAAGTCGATTCACTCTAATTTTTAAAGTAACAAAGCTAAACGCTAAATTAAGACAGAGGAAACAAATGCATGTGTTACATCCACTAAACATTCTATAAAATGAAAATTTTCTAGAGGAATCATCCATAGATATTACAATTTATGTGCAATACTACAAAAAGAGAAAGGAAATAATTTTTTTTAATTATATTTTTTACAAATATAATATTTAACCTCTTTAAAAATAAAAATTACAATATTTCAGTATTTAAAGTACTATTAATATTATCCAGCACCTGTAGGAATACAATTTTTGTTATAACGAGGTCTTAACAGTAATAATGTATTACCCCTCCCCACATTGTGTATTAAGAAATGTTTTATGGGGAGAGGAGAGGGTGCACAAACAAATATTACTCTTAGTAATAAAAAAGTATAAAATACATTAAATTTGTCCCATGCGCCCATCTCCTTTTAAAAAGCTAAGCATGCCCTGCTATAAATAATTATGATATTCAGGTTGAATCAATGTATTAATTTAGTCTTATAAACCAGATTTATCCCCAATTTGTTTGTATTTTAGATTCACCTCAAAACGTAAAAAAGAGAAAAATTCCAAAGCACGATACAACTTGGGGTCAGTTTTTATTTTAAAAAGATACAGTGAAATTTCGATTGTTTGAAATAGAAATAAAATATGGATATATTATTTTTTATTTCCCTCTTTATCAACTGTGTATATTTTTTATTGACCCACAAGGATCATAAAAATTGTATAAAAAGGTAATAGTCTATTAATTTCAAATGTGTGTATTCTACAAAGTACAGAACAATAATAATTAAATTAACGAACTTATGTCATTCACGAAATATAATATATATAATGCATATGGTATCTACATATTTTGTTTTCAAACAATTGATGTTTCAACTATTTTACTATATTAGAATAATAATTTGGGTTTCGTTTAAAATCGATCTAATACAATTTAATATTTCAGAACTGGTTGAAAACTATGATTTTATTAAACCTGATAATAAATCCCTTGCACCAGGTAACTTTTTTACAAACTGTAATAAAGTATTTTTACCATTAGCTAATAAATCACTTGATGTATTGGTTTATTATGTTGATAATACTTATTTACTATTTTGCGGATTACTTTTTATTATACTGTATAAATATGTGTAAAATATAATTATAGTTCTATACAACTAATTTTTAATTTTTACTTTTTTTCAGAAAAAACTAAAACAATACAGTTTGTTATGACTGCAAACAGTAAAACTCGTAAAACGTATGTATGCATAAATATGTGTTCAATCTGATCGGGCATGTATGATCAATACTGTACTTATTGTAACTTGTAAGCTGGAGTGAGACTTGTGCAGGAGAAAGTATTATGCAAAAGGTTCACACCCGCATGGCAACACCACAAAAAAATAAATGTTAGACTTGCAAGATGTCCTGTAAATTGTGGCTCGGATAAATAGCATTTAAGTTGGTGATTCAGTGAATATTTACTATCCCTCCATAAAATAATTTACTAATCAATTTATCTGTGAGATAACATTTTCCCTGTTGCTTAAAATATATTATTTGAAACAGGCTCAAAGAGTTGAGCTATTAAGTGCCCGTTTTAAGATGAGTCAGTATGAGAAGAACACAGTTTAATTAGTTTTTAATCAATTTAGGTGGGGAAAGATGATTTTGTTTACTATTTTTCTATGTGTGTACCCAGCATTAAAGGGAAAGAGGACCATCAATATTGGCTATACATGCCTGTGTTTGAGTATTCATTTATGTCAGTAGTGAGTGTATGTGTTTTGATAAAAAAATTTTTCAGACTCTCTAACATTTCATGCTCCGAAAAATTTTCTATTCTGTCTGTTCGGGGTCTCGACCCGGCCAAAAGCAATTGCAATCGACTTTTCAGACTATTGTCTTTGTACGCCACGGTGGCTGATGTACGGTATTTTTTTTTAAATTTATCATATTATAATTATTATTGGTCGCTATTTATTTTAGATTAATTATTCGCGCGAGTTAAATTCTGCCGAAGTTCAAATCAGTAAATGCAATGATATCAATACATTTGCTCAAGTTCAACATCATTATCTATCGCACGGATTCAACTTATCATTCCAGTAAAGTATATTTTATTAAAACCTTAATCAGTGATCACTGATGTCTATTATCTATTTTTATATTTTATGGTACTCTATTTGTTTTCTTACTATATACAGTGACGTAGTTAAATGTTGAGTGTGTTAGGGGACGCTGAGTTTACGTATATATTATACTGTTGATTATTTTATGAATGATGCATAAGGCATTAACGTTGGCGGATGTTACATAATCATAACTAGACAACAATTGAACAATCATATTTTATCACTAAACATTAGAATATAATACATACAACTTACAATTTACATTATCATTTCTCAAGTTTACCTAACACTTATGACTAAAAAAAAGATGTTAAGCCCCCAACCCCACCCCCTCCCAATTAAAAATTCTAGTTTATACCACTAACATTATATATACACTATCGTTTAGTGGCTTAAGGTTCTACATTTTTTAGTTACCTATATAGTTTTGTATATTGTTTTTAGGTATTTAAAAGATGATAAGAAGGCAAAAAATCGTTGTATCAATCCATTTGTTTTGTCAGATGGATCACCATCATATGTAGTTTATGATCGAAAAATGACACTTCATGTATCAAATCCTCCGCCATCTAGAGTACGTATAACAGAATGAATAATAATTGTTAAATATAATATACTAATTCAGTAACCAACCTACCTAAGGTAAATCAAATTATTTCGAATTTATTAGTCCAGAACATATATTTTAATTGACTGTGTGCTTGATTTACTTAAATCAGAGACTACTGTTTCAAGAATATTAAATCTATTTTTAATGTTATTTCTTATTCAATTATACTGAAGGTAATTTAGTCAAAGTAGAATACCTGAATACCTTGTCCTAAGTTATATCTATAAAGATTGAAAAAAATCAAACACATATTACCATAATTAATTATTAACCTAACCTAACCGTAATTAATTATTAAACTAAAAAGTAATAAATTATTTATACTCACCAGTTATCATATTCGGATCTACCTCTATATATTATTATAATTTTATATAGATACCATATGTAGGTAATTAGATAGGCCCTTCAACTACATATTATCAAATAAAACGTACTGAAAATGTATTAAAATGTGTATTATTTGTATAAATATATATACGTTTGTTTCATTATTATTATAGGTGCTCCAGTTTGCAGGCGCTCCGTCGAGTATAAATGAAGAAAAACTTATTTCACTGTTTAAAAAAACAATTAAAAACGAAAATTTAAAAGTCAAACTTCTGACTTCCAAAGGTATCTGTTGGCGTTGCTCATCATGTAAATAGATAGTTTTATTTTATTTTCTTGTTCACAGATCATAAAAAAAGTTCGACGATTAGTGGTGAAATTTGGTTTCCCACTGTAAGTGAAGCTATTGAAGCTGTAATGGCAATTAATTATGCCATTTTTTGGAATAAAGGTACGTGTACACATTATATTATTTTAGATTCTGAGCGGAGCGATGAATGTATTGGTTTTACAATGATGTGTGTTTTTTTATTTTTTGTGTCTGTCATCACGTTTTAGGACAGTAAAAGTGCTTGGATTTTCTTCATCAGTAGCTTTTCTGATAGGAAAGTGAATCTAGTTGGTATTTTGGGGGGGGGGGGTCAAAAGTATAAATTTCCCAGTAGTTTTCACAAGCGCCGGGAAAAACAACATAAAAATTAAGGAAAAACGGGAATTTTTACGCAAAATTGATTTTCCAAAATATCGATTTTGGTTATTGGTGTAACTCTAAAACAAATGAACGTATATACATGAAATTTTCACTGGTTGTTTATATTTGCATTTTCTATACACGATAACATTTTCAAAATACTTTGATTTATTTTGAACTGTTTAGGGACATTTTCATTTTCCATTTTTTTTTAGTTTTTTTTCTAAAAATATCATTAAAATTTTATTTGTTGGTTAAAAAAGCTTGAAAATTTAATAGAAGGCTCCTAATATATTGTTTCAAAGGCAGATGAAAAATATTAAAAATCCTTAGTCACAATTTTTTTTTTATAAGCATTTAAAGTTCAAAAATTGACAAAATATGGAAAAATCACGAAAATTAGCAAATTATTTTGAGTTAAGAATTCGTAAAAATTTTTCTTTTTAAATCTAAGATTTGAAAATGAAACACAAGATTCCTTATAAGATTATCTACCTTTATCAATAAAGAAATCTCTACCGGACAGTTAAATTAAATTTTTATGAGCGTTTGAAATTCAAATTTTTACAACATTGGATATTCACTCGATTACTCATGTAGCGTTTTCCTTATTTTGTTGCAATTCAAAAACGAACAACTGTAGATACATGAAAATTTCACTGAATGTTTAAATTAACATTTTCTATACAGTATACACCATACAATTTTGAAAATATTTTGACTCTTTTTGAGCTGTTTATGGACATTTACAGCTTTCAATTTTTTTTAGTTTTTTTTTCTATAAATATCAATAAAGTTTTATCTGTTGGGCCAAAAAGTGTAAAAATTTAATACAAGGCTCCTGATATATTGTTACAATATCAGTTGAAAAATATTAAAAATACATAGGCACAGTTTTTTTTTATAAGCATTTAAAGATCAAATTTTGATAAAATTTATCAAAATCTCGAAAATTATCAATCATTGTAATTAATAAATTATAAAATGTTTAGTTTTTATAGCTAAGGATTACAAATTCAACACAAAGGTTCTCATAAATAATTCATACTATAACCAAAAACTCTAAAAAATATATGAACACACTTATTTTTTACAGACATTTTAAATTCAAATTTGGACGAAATTACATATTAAAAAACCTAGAATAACTATTTTAGTTATTTTGTTGTGATTGATTAATATTATTCGTGGGTACTTGAAACTTCTAAAGTGTACTATTATATATCTATGATAGTATCACGGTTTTTGTTGATGTATAACGTGTTATAAGTATCTAATGGATATTGTGATATGATTAATTTGGAATTTATTATAGGTACCTATTATAGGTCAATTTTTTGTTTAATACCATAGATATGTATATAATATATCTTATACATAGACTGACATACCGTCACCGCTCAGAATCGTTTTTCTTATACAATGATATTATATCATTGAATTCAAATTTAATACCATCCATTATACAGTGACCCACTTGTAACCTACTGTACAGCAGAGCGACACCCACTTGCCCACCTTTTTTGTTTGATCTTTGTTGATGAAAACAAGTGTTTCCATAAAAAAAAAAAATTTACTTTAATAAAATAGTTGTACTTAATATATTTATCAAGGACCTACTGATTATTTTATAGCTAAGTGTTCAATTTTATTGTACAATAGTCTTATTATGAAATTAAAATTAAGTCTTTTTTATACACTGACCAGCCATAGATACAATTTAAAAAGAATCGTAATATTATGTTCCGCATACATAGTTGTAAAATAGTGTAAGTGTAGAATATGTTATAGCTTATAACCAATATAGGTAGTGTACATATTAACCAGGTAATTTAAACCAAATCCATATCAACAGTGTAATGTAATGTATAATGTATATTATACATTATGTCATCCAATCGATTTATATACTAGTCAGTGTATGATCAATGTTATAAACCACTTAAATTGATTCAATAAATATTACAGAGTATAATATGCTAGCAGCAAAAACCAAATCATACTAATCCAAAATAAAAATAATTCATTAATTATATATTTTAACGATTTTACTATTTAATTAAAATTTTAAATTGAAATACAATTATTTATTAAACAATTAGAATTTTTATGAGATGTATTAATCTGGTAATTTAAAATTGATAGTTAATTTTTGGCAAAAAAAATTTTATTTGAATTAGTTGTATTAGTTTTAAATAACCCACTAATAATATTTTTAAATTACAACCAAACAACTAAAATCTATAATATTCTTCATTTAAATATCATAATTTGTCCAAATTTGAATTTAAACTAATTATATACATTTTTTTAAAACAGTTTTAAATTTTCAATCCTAGGCTATAAAAATTGAACATTTTATAAAATTTAAATTACAAACTAATTTACGAATTTTGGAGACTGAAGAATTTTTAAAAATTGAGATTTATAGAAAAAATAAAAAAATAAATTTGATTTTCCGAAAATAATATTTTCTTTATTAAAGATATGTAAAGCTATGAGGAATCTTACATTACAATTTTTAAATCTTAGAAATTGAAAAATTTTTATGAATTGCTAACTTAAAATAAAAAAAAATTTTGTGGTTTTAACGAATTTTGTCAACATTCTAACTTCAAAAGCTCTTTAAAAATGTCCATGGATTTACTTTTTTTTATTTCTAATATTTAATAACTACAAGAGGATCATTGTATTACATTTTCAAGTTTTTTATTTATATAATTTTTAGATTTTTCACTTTACTTGCACTATAAAACAAGACCTACCTTTGTGCCAAATTTTACGTTTTTATGTATATGGGAAGTATTCAAGTATGTTATAATTTTGAAGATCAGCCAATATGTAACAAAAATGCTCTCCTTTTGAATAAGCTTATTATTAAGGGCTCAAATTTGATCAATGTCCCCTAAGCTCTTATTCCTTAAGTGTAATCTATGTTTCAAATTTAAAAAGTCAATCTTTAGAGAAAGCACAGATATGAGGGTTTGAAAAACTGGGTAGAACTTCTCATGTAAAATTACACTAGAATTGCTGGACCTTGGCCTGCTCAGAATCTAAAATGTACCCAATTTGTCATGATTTAACGCTTTTAAAAAATGAGAACAAGTTATACAATATGTATTTTAGATATTGAAACATACAACTGTAATTTTTATAGCCATTTTTATTTTTAATTATGCTTTTTTTGTACCCATTCTTAGTCTCGCAACCTGATTCAATATTTATATTTACTTTTCTTTCGTTAGCATCATTATTATTAGTGTAATCGATAGCTTAATCCTTGACCATTTCCAAGCAAAATTCATCAATCAATTTCCCAACTATGATGTCTTCATCAATTTGTTTTTAAATGTTTATTTGATATAATAAGACTATAGTGCTTAGCAAAATAAAGATGATCATAATTTTTGATATTTTTAAAACCTAAAAGATCTAAAATTGACATTGATTTTAACCAGTTAATCTTACTTCAAAAGTCTTTGTTCAAGACTATTAAATGCTTGGTAATTTACAAAGTTATACACATTTATCTAATATCTAAATTTTGGGTTTTGTATTGGGTTGACTGCAATTTTTTTTTTTTAAAACAACTTAAAATTTCATAAGCATGTAGTAGTTTAATTTACAACTTAAAAATAATTTATTAGACAAAGAAACAAAGTGGTTTGATGCACTTATGACTTGCTAAATTTCCAGACTGGTTTTTAGGGTATTAATTATATGTCTCACCATCTTGAATGCTCTGAGAATGTCCCTTCCATTTGTAAGTATAATGATAATGATGTTGTAGATGCAAAACATTAGTTAGTAAATACATTTGACAACAATATAATTTCATATTTCATAAGTGCATCTTAATATGATGGTATGAGATTTATCTGGTTCTGGAATAAATTTGTCTATAGCAAAAATTGTATTTTAAGTTTATATAAGTTAATTTATTTTATATTATTTTAGATACCAACAGGAAGGATTATGTGTTAAAATTGGCATTTATTTCTGAAGTACTACCAATACTTAAAAAGGTTGCAATAAAAACAGAAAATAATAATGTGATAAAGACAGAAGGTAATAAAGTAATTAAAACAGAAGATATTAAAGACATCAAAACATATAGTAATGAAGTGATCAAAACAGAAGATTATAAATTGATCAAAACAGAAAATAATAAAAGGATCAAAATAGAAGATTATAATGTGATCGAAGCCGATTATAATTATATAGTGATCAAAACAGAAGATGATATAGCGATCAAAACAGAAAATGATAAAGCGATTGAATCTTACAATGATTTAGTGATCAAAACAGAAAATGATAAAGCGATTGAATCTTACAATGATTTAGCGATCAAAACAGAAAATGATAAAGCGATCGAATCAGACAATAATTTAGCGATCAAAACAGAAGATGATATAGCCATCAAAACAGAGGATGATATAGTGATCAAAACAGAAATTGATTAATCATAAATTTTAAATTTGTATTCTTAATTTTATGATTTTGCATAATGTCTATCAAAAAAAAGAAATGTATGACATACGTATTTTGTAAATAACAATTATTATGAACATTGCCCAATAATGGCAAAAGAATAGCTATAGAAAGTAGGTAACTTATAAAAGATTAATTTACTATGAATTTTCTGTTAAAAAGGTATTTAAATTTTTTTTTTCTTATTTGGTTATAAACATTTTGTAACACTACTTATGTGTATTGATAAATATATTTATTGATAAATATAATATTTATAAATTGTACTATTTTATACTACAATTTTAATATTAACAACTACAGAAATAATAATAACAATTATATAAAATAAATATATTAAATAATAACAACTTTAATTACATTGTTAATTATTTTATCATTATTAATCATAGGTTCAAAAAGAAAATATTGTACAATTTATCGGTATTTATTATTTTCATGAAGAATGAACATTTTTGAAAAAATTTTTTGTCAATATAAAATGTAAAACATTTGTGGGTACCTATTCTTATTATTTGAACATAAAAAAAAATGTGTGTATATTGTATAAGAGGAGCTTAACTCATTCAGTTTATCCTGGAACTCGTCAACCGTTACAATTTAAAATAACAGTGGTTTGAAAACAATTTTTTTTTGAATACAATACATTAATATAGTTTTTGGAAAACTATTTTTTTTTTTTTAATCGCAACAGTTGCTGAGTAATTATTTGATTAACTGAAAGCTTGTATAAAAATGTGTATTTTGTTTATAAAACTTTTGTTCCGAAATGTTAGAATATTATGAATTTATCGAGAAAAAAAATATATAATAACGATAATAGTAGCAGTCAGTAGGTATAAGTATAATTTGTATACATTTTAATATTTTATAGAACAATTTATTGTGTATAATCATATAGGTTTACCATTTTGACAAAATGTGGGTGAAATGGGAGAATGATAAAATTATTAAAATTTTTATTGCTATATTTTTACATTGGTAACCAACCCGTTATTTATCACAACACTCGAAAATGGTATGTTTTAGTCAATCGAGCACTCGTGATTGGTGATGGGATTTTAATAGTAGATCGATTACGTCATTATGACCTTATTATAATCCATCGAAGGAACGAAATCTGACGCAAACGAGTCATACGAGAAGCGATATAATATTATGACACTGATTTTTCTACTCCGTTAGCTGCCTCGCGAGGATACTACGAAAAAGTTAGGTTAACTACACTATACCATGGGCAGCTACAATACAGCTCACCTACGACTCGACGTGTGTGTGATTTGGGGGGGGGAAGGAGGGCTAAGCCCTGGGAACGAATAATATCAACCTACGATTTTTAGGGGACAATTATTATTGCGCGTGTGTCAAATCGATCACACGGATTTTGATTTCGTATATCACAGACGATCCGAACGACGAGTGGTCGAGTTATACCAATCTCCGACGATATGCATAGGCATTTATAGACTATAGTAACGATATTAAGAAAAATGTCTAATATTATGATAGTCCGCTGGCGACCCCTTTTAATCACTAGATTCGTATTCGCCACGAACAATAATATTGTAGAACTCGTCGAGCCACGTTTTTAATTTCAGTTGATACCTACACAGCTAAGTAGGTACTCTACATAAAAATATACATTAGGGGAGGTCTTACTATTAACGCTTAACAAGCCAAAGCTAACGTTCAATAGTTCTAATTTTGTTGCGTCTTGTTCGTTTAAATATTTAAGTAATTTAACCTATTATTAATTATAAAACATAAAAGTTAGGTCGGTCGTTGGTTTTTCGCAGTATTTTAATTTGTTTGCGAGTCAGTTACGAGTAAGTAAAATATTAAAAAAAAAAAAAATTATGTTTTGAAAAATTATCTTAACTCACTTATTAATAAAAATATTGTAAAAAACCAACGAGAGATCACGGATAATGTTATCTAGGCCAATTCACTCTAATATTAAATCTAACAACTCAAAATTGGATATGCTGAACTCAAAAGCGCTACGTCGGACATAATATGATATTAACATATTAATGATAACTGTCAGGTAAATATATACATTGCAAAACGCGGACATTTTGTACGATCTGGTAAACATTTTCATTTCAGAACGCGGAGACTTTTTACTACCTTAAACTTATTGTATACATAAAGTACCTACTTAAGTATATAATATTATGTAAATATATGTACCATTGTCCTATACATAATAAATAATAGATAAAGTTTGATGACAATTAAACATTATTTTATTTATTTGATATTTAAAAGTAATTTAAATATGTTTTAAATATAGTACCTATATAAACAAGCCAAAATAATCAGTTTTTTAATTAAACAGGTTAGCTGGTAACTACCGAATTTCGCACTATAATAAATGTTTAAATTATAATATTATAGGTATAAAATTTATATTAAAACATGTGTTAAATTTGTTAATTGTACAGGTAAGTTACAACCAAACGTAAATGGTATAAAAGTTCGTAATGCTACATACCAATATATTTAAAAATATAAGTAGACATGTAAGTAAAACTAATAAATTTAGATGACAAAAACGATATTTAAACTTATCAACATTTTTAATATAATAGGTATGATTGAAACCTTTTCATACTATACCTACTTATAATCAGTGTTTGAAAGAAACGAGTTCCAAATGGAACGGATTCCTGGAACGAATTCCTTTTTAAACAAAGAACGAGAAAATTAACGAGTTCTTTTTTTCAAAGAAAAATAACAAAATTGTCGGTTCCTTTCTAGTTCCAATAGTTTACACAGATACCTACCTAATATGTAAATAATTGAAATTATGATATATTTTTTCAAATGTGTATAATGTATATTGCCAATTAGTGATCGTTATTGAGTGCCGACGTGATTCGTTACTCATTAGTCACTTTATTAATATTTCTCATAAGTTAGAAGTTATAATTTTTATAGAGATGAGTAGGTACTTATAAAAATATGATTATTTAAAACAATAAACGATAAGACAGTCGATATACGTCGGCCAACAATTTAATTTTGAGGAAAATCTCAAAATGTAATTATAAAATATGTACCTATACTTGTAGGTATATATTATAATTAAAAATTAAAGAAGTATGCCAAAAAAAACATTAATGATTAAATTATAATTTTTATTTTATTTAGAACTAAAAAAAGAACTCGTTCATTTTCCAAAGGAACTACAAAGGAACGAATTCATTTTTATAAGGAACTTACCGAACATTGCCTAAAATAAATATACTTTATGTGTAGGTATAATTTGTATACCTATAGTAGTAGGTATATAGTGTCCACATTCTACAATCTAAAGTTTTACCCGATCGTACAAACTTTCCACGTTTCGCACTTTTAATGTTCAGCAGTACAAAATGGCCTAGAACCCCATAATATGAGTAAAGGTCCCCACACACTGTGGCGGTAACGGCAAAATGAGTCCGGACACAATTTTACCGCCACCGGAAAGACAAAAAAATTTTACAGTCACCGCTACAGTGTGTGGAGACCTCAAGACAGAGTACCTATAGCGGGATATGACGACGTCCTCGAGTAAAATGGTGTCCGCGTCAAAATCTAATATCTTAGTGATACACCAATAGAGCGTACCTATATTATAAAATGTGGTGGCGGCTCGACCGATCTGATAAATATCGGTATTGTAGCAGACTAGCTATAAATGATATGTATGAATTATCCGTACCACGGTGGACGTCTTGGCGTATTTAATCGGGCTACCGAAACATTCGAAACACTTCGCGCGTCCGATGCGAAGTGCACTTATAATGAGGTGGTAGAAAAAAAACGCTAAAAGCTCTTAGCGTGAGTGTGGGCAAGGGGCTGATTGCAGTCGACGGCGTGGCCGCGGCGACCGTCCGCCCGGAACGCCGGTGGAGCCGGTGGACGGTGTCTGTTGCGAGAGCCATCTCCGGTCCCCTTGATCGTGAAAGTCACGAAGTACCGCCTGTTCTTGTCCAGCTTGTCGGTGGGCAAGTCGATGGCCTGCGCGCAGGGCCCGTTGCCCAGCTGCAGAGTGATTGGCCTGGACGGGTCCACGTTTCGTAGGCACCTGGTGGTGGTCCCGCCGGATGTGTCCTGGCCCGTCCGGATGTCCGGAAGGAAGCGGTGACGGCGGCCGTCGTCTGCAGGTGGTTTCGGCATCCGATGGTGGTCCAGCCGGAACTTTGGTACTGAAAAATATGCGAATAACCGCGATGTGTTATATATTGTCACCTTATAAATGCAGTGTATAACGTCATGTCGTGCTTTATTATATTAAGAAGGGTAGGTCACACTTAGTCCTCACGTGGAGGGGAGCATAATAGCCCCCCCTTTGAAAAAAACAAATATTTTTTACTCTTCTTCTCATCAAACACCTACAGCGCTGGCCTAAGATTTAGATGAGTCAACAACTGATGAGCTTTTTAAACTAGATGATATAACTTTGTTCGTAGATATTATATTGATGTTAATTAGAAAGTACCTACTACCTACCTATGATGGATATTTTTTTAGTCGTGCAAAAAACCTTGGATTGTGTAAATCATGAGTTATTGTTAAAAAAATATAGAATTTTCAGGTATTCGTGGAGTAGCTATTAAAGAACTCAAAAAAAGTTAAAGTAAATGATTATTATAGTAAGGCTAGAAGCATACATTGTGGAGTTCCACATGGAACAGTCTTAAGCCCTCTATTAATTACCTATCTTTTTTATTAATGATTTATTGAATATAAATAGTAATATGAAATTATTAAGTTTTGATGACGATACTACTAGGTATATCTATTAATATCTGAACTAACAGTTGATAGCTTGTACTATGAAGCAAATTATATTTGAAATACCTAATGTGTTCACTTAGTTTTGTAAGAATAAGTTAAAGTTAAAGTTAAATTTATTTGATTGTCCAATCTCATTCAAAGCCAAAAACGAAATCAGAAAAAATAAATACTGATATCCGAAGCCGAAATCAAAATAGGAAAATATATTTTCGGTTTCAATCCCTGGTTATATTAAAATAATTGATAATATATTGATATACCTAGGTACTTAATAATAATGCAGGAATTTAAGCAAATGTAAATACGAAGGTAGTTGGGTGCAGCTAAAGTGAGTTCCGTAATAAACGGTAAACATAAAATAATTGAATGAGTAATATAATATAACGTATAAGTTCTCATTATTGGAAACATTGAAGGTGTAGACAAAATATATACGTCATGCCAAATTCGTTAATCTAAGCATTGTGAGTATTTGTGACATGTAACGGACGATTGGATCAAGTTGAGTGAGATGGAATATAAAAATGAGTTTGATTTCTGAAGTTATTGGAATAATCAATAGTATACTAATATAAATTATGCTTTATGATACCTACTAGAAGTACAAGACATTTTATTTATTGTACAAGTTAAATACATAATTTATCAATCGATTTAAAATGTTATTTTTCAAATGAATAACATACGCAATATGCATATTATAAATTTATTAACCTGTAGGTAATAAAATACAAATATATGTATATATTATGGCTACATAAATTGAAATTTCAAGATAAAATAAACAATTAATACTTATAATAAGTATGTACTATGTAGGTACCTACTACCTATATTACAATGTTAATTTACTGGCTTTGGTTATAGCGAGATATCAATATTAGCTAATTGAAACCTAATGAATACGAAATTTATAATATAATAGATGAAGTAGGTAGCCAAATAATTGGTGAGTTTACATTGCGATAACTTGTATTTATTAGATAGGGCGTTACTTTTCACCTGGAAAAAGATGCAGAAAAAAAATTGGTAGCAAGGTAAGGTGGTATATTCTTTTTATTGTTACGGAATGATACACTGCTCTTACTAAACTTTTTGATGTCACAAAAACACAAAATAATAAGCTCAAATTATGTGGAACTCAAACATAAAATTTCTGGAATTTTGTTGATAGATATACCGGACTGGACTACCCAAATTTTCCCTGTCATATTTTCCCCAATATCGTATTACTTTTTCCTCTATAAATTATATATTTCAATATCATATAGGTACTCTCATAACTCTATGAAATTTTGAAATAACTATGATTTTAAAATGACGCAGGGCTCCCAACATTGAGATGCCCTCAGGAGCTACCCCTTCTACCTTGTCCTTTTCCCGGGGCCATCAAACAAACTCTCATCTCATATAAGGTAAGAACCTAAAAAAATTGGTTTGTGGTGGTTATGGAGGGTGGTGGGGGAGGAGGTTATAACCAAAATCAATATAAATTACGAATTAAAAGTTATAAAATATGTATCATCAAAAAAACTTTCGTATGAAATTTCAGGATTTGGATATGTTTTAGTTTGATTTGATATCAGAAACAAAATATCTGGACGTGTGATTTAAATAAAATTTAAAATTAAATATTTTCCTTGGTTATTTTTAGATACGTTAAATACAAGTTGTATATTTACAGCTACACGTTAAGTTGACAATCCCGAAACTTGATAAAGTTCGTTATGAACCTTTTGTTTGGTTTTAAAATCTAACCCTCAGACTTGCATTATGTTGTAATATATAGGTATTATATAAGATCAATATTATTTGACCGTGTCATCCGTGTATGAACTAATATATATATATAGATATAGATACAGTCTTACAGTGTCAATAATTTCAGAATGATGTCGTTACATGGGGCTATATTATACAACGTATTAATCTATTATTGTTTTTTACCCTCCGTCATTATTTATGTGAGCATTCACCCATTAAAAATTAAAATACGTATCAAGTGGATGGTTGACAGAAAAACTACCTACATAATTACAATATCAGTTTGCCATTTTAACGCGGAATCGCAATAAAACGGCCGACCTTCCAAATTGCCCTTCCGTGTGTTTCCGTGCAGCAGTCTCGTCATATCATATCGCACGTGATTGTACGTTATTATTAATATTAAAACGCCCTTATCGTAAGTGGCGGGCGTCGAATACTCACTGTATGCGGCACAAGGCACACCGGTGTACGCGTGAGTGGCGTGAAAACACCTGTTCGTGGTCCGGACACACGACAGGCAATCGTTTGGGTTTTCCAGAACCGTTTTTCCGGCGTCGATACGGCGCAAAGCCCCTGCCAGTTTTTCCACTTCATCGATTGACTGCACCCTGGGGACCGTGGTTTTATCGTCGGCCAACGATTGTTTTTGCAAAACTAGCAATTGATCTACAAATAATAATGTATGTAATATAGAAAGAAAACAAGCATAGTTGTATTAAGGCTGTTGGAGCATAAAATATTTTAAGTAGTAAAATTTAGAAAATTGTGCAAAAATCGGGAAAAAGTTCATTCGGGAATTTTGATTCGGGAAAAATACCGGTAACCTTTGCTTATAGCTATTTTGTACCGATTTTAACAGTTTTTTATGATAACACGATAATGACCCCAGATAATGATTACACACACGAAGGTTCATTTACTACTCACACAATGACAAATATTTGCACAAGTATTGACAAGTATTTTTCCCGAATGGTATTTTGCCCAAAAATCCGAAAACCCGAAACCTTTTTCCCGAATCGAAATTCCCGAATGAACTTTTTCCCGTATGGTATTTTTTCCGAAAGTCAGTATACCCTAAATCTTTTTTCCCGAACACTGTTTTCCCGAATCGAATAATAATATTATAATTTATAATAAGTAAGTATAAAGCGGCCAATCGCCTATGTTGTATAATAAAAATAAATACATAATATAAAAAATAAAAGTAATAATAATTTAAAACATATAGTGATAGAGTGATAATTAAATATTTAAAAATCAATCATATTTTATAATAAGTAAGTATAAAGCGGCCAATCCGCCTATGTTTTATAGTAAAAATAAATACATATAAAAAATAAAATAAACAATATTAATAATTATTACTTACAAAACAATATTATGCGTAATCGACTGCCGATAGCACGCAAATAACGCGAGTAAGCGACTCTACGATTACAATGTAATTATGATATCAGTGTAAAATACAAATCAGTTGAATGTTCATATAACTGAAGTGTGATAAAGATACCTGTACTTTTTTATAAATATTATCTTTATCTCCACATACGTCGCCCGCGGGCTGCGACAATATGCTATAAATTAAATTTTGAAATTTTTTATTTCGGGAACAATAACCGTCGGGAAAAACGCGTTCGGGAAAAAAGGTTTCGGGTTTTTGGATTTTCGGGCAAAATACCATTCGGGAATTTCGATTCGGGAAAAACGGCGGGTGCCATAAGCAGAAGATTAGTACTTCCCGATGTCCGATTATTATTTTAAAAATATGTATGAACTCATCATCCTCTTTACTAGGTTATGTAGGAAAAATAATTGATGTTTTAAAACTAAATGTAAGTGTATAAAATAAAAATATTTTCATAATTTTTTTAAATTTTAACATATTTTTTAAACCTTATTGAGTACAAAAATCAAAAATCTGTTTCCTACATAACCTAGAAAAGGAGATGAGTTCATACATATTTTCAAATTAATAATTGGACATCGGGAAGTACATAAACTAATCTTCCGCTTATTGGTCTAAAACTACAAAAAATACGGTGTGCTACAACAGCCTTAATAGTTACTACACACTATATAATTCAGAATAATAGTATGCTATGTCCTATGTATATAATGTGTATAATATATAGGGATAGGTTATATTATGTATGTATCTATATGCACTCTGCGGAGTGCAGATGGGTGCTGATTTTATTATCTAGTCTCTGATCATGATATTGCCATAAAATATATGAAAAATTACATTTTCAAAATTGATTTTTGAAAGTTATGATGTAACATTTAAAATTTATATTAGTCAAACGAGAACAATAGTTTTAAGATTTTTTTAATTATAACTATGGCATATTTTATTTAACATATTTAATTATAAATTATGTTCATATTTTTTACACCTAACCTAACCCACCACAATATTTTAGATTTGTGAGAAATTTATTTTAGGTGTGCATGTATCATGTATGATTGCAATGTCCCAACTTATAAAATATTTTTAGAAACACTTAAATTAGATAAAGATCTAAGTATTTAAATTGAGTCTCATTCTACAAATCACATGTGCAATTTATTGCAAAAACATTATTTAGTGTTATCCTATACTTAAAAGACTTAAGGGATTAATTTACTATTTACCTATATTAAATATAGGTAGGTACATTTGCGTTTTGCATTTAAATAAAAATGTATGCGTCCATGAAAGTATATACCTACCTACATTTACTTACATTTAAAGACTAAATATTATTTATTTTAAAATGTATTATTATTAAAAAGGGAGTAAACCCAATATTATAACCTACGTCCTACGAGGTATTCTAATATGTACCTAGTAGGTTAGGTACTACCTACCTAAACCTAATATTATTGTATGAATAGGTAAATTATAAAATATTTTCAAAGATTTACAGATTTAAAATTAAATTAATTATCAAAAGAGAAATATTAATACTAAATAATTATAATTTATTAAACACGTTGTTTACATCTCTTATATATCTGTGAAATCAAAAACTGTAAATAGGTTCGAGCATTAAATTATGATTCTATATATAGGTAGGTATGAGCCTGCACGAGGGGTTTTGTTTGTTGCGTTTTGCAATAACCTAGGTAGCTTTATAAGTACATAAGGTATGACTGTAGTCTGTATGAGTGTATGACATGAAACATTTAACCATAGTGCGTTCCTCAGATACATAGGTACTTTCTAACAATACGTAATTACGATATAACTGTACATGTAATAGCAAAAATTATATAGATATAGGCACTTATGTAGTTATATACGTATATAAATCGTTCTGATGTCAATATTATTAATATTGGACTAGGTACAACGGAAAGGCAACGTTTGCATGAAACGCTTAAAATGTTTACGCTCACTCAAATATTTTGCTTACACAGCTCAATAGACACGCAACCCACGCAGCATGTTGTGTTTAAAATTATTATGTACTAGGTACTATGTTAAATGTAGTGCAACTAAAAATGTACAATCATATTACTGGTAAAGTGGAACATTTCAGAGTGATTTATAATACATACTACATATAGGTACATAATAACAACAGTTATTATTCGTTGAAATTTTTTTTTTTTAATGCATCATAGACATCATTATAGTTTTATTTGATTTTTAGTTTTTACGCAAAGATTAGACTCACCGTATAAATATTTTTCGAAACGCTTAAACGAAAAGGGTCCGTCGTATCTTTTCAATCCAGTAAACAGTCCTGTACTACCATACTCTTCAACCAGCCGTTTAACCAATACTCGTTCGTCGGACTTGCCCGCTCTGATTTGTAACCGTTTTAATTCGGACAGTTGATAAAAAATCAACCGTTCCAAATTGTACCTATGAGAAAATACACTGTGTATAAAACAGATTTTATCGCGGAATTTTACTTCATTAAATTATGTAATATGTTACCTATTCAGATTTAAAATTAATTTTAATATTTTCTTTAAGCTCAACTTACTTTCTGCTGCTCAATTGAACTGCTTTCGTTACAGACATGGTGTTTAGATCGGAAGTAGGCGCTAAACTACAATAGTTATTCAATCGAGGAATTCGGCTTTTCATTTTTTCTAAAACGAAACATGATCATCAGAATACAATACAATTATAATTATATAATATAAAATATAACGTAGGTACCTACATAATTATTTAAATCATCAGTCGTCTGTAACGACTGTAACTTATATTATATGTAAAAATATACGCAGTGTACTGTAATGCACAAACGACTAATCGAGGACAACAGTTTTTATTTTTTATAAGTTATCCTTTTTTTTATTTTTTATTAGATTTATACATAAATTGAGAAATATCCGTTACAAAGAAGTTACTTTGCAGGAGAAACATATACAAAAGAAGATTGGGCTGTATGAATATTGTGTAAGGATACAGAAATATAAGTTTTATATATATAAAAAAAACCCAGAGGGAGACGCTTTGCTATATTATAGTAGATTTTGAGACTATATCTATAGGCTATAGTCATTGAGTAGGTCACTGTGATGGATGTATTAAATATTTGAACTCAATGATAAAATCGTCGCATACGAAAAACAAATTTTGGGCGTTAGCCACTATATCTAAAGTTATTTTATAATTAATTTATATGACTATAAGTTATTTATTTTTCCATAAATATTTCATAATGTATAAATATGTTATATAATTAATTGTTATAATATTATATCATATATTATTGTATATTCCTGTTTTTTCGAATATAGTAAAAATTACTGATAAATTATGAAAGTCTTTTTAAAGTAACCACAACAACAACAATTATAATAATATAGGGATAATTTTAATTAAAAAATATGAAGCACTTACTCGAAGTGGACCGCGACGGTTTTCGCTTGCAACAATCGGGACACTCGCAAGGTCTGTCGTCTTCACGTCCTGCGTCGGGCAACACACTGAACGCGGTCGGTTCGCCGACGAAGTTTCGACTTCCGACGACGACTCCCACCCCCCCGACATCGCCGTCACCGTCGACCGTGGCCGACAGTTGTGGCGTGTCCACCCGATCCAATACTTCGACTATGGCCCTGCCGCTGTCGGGTTGGCCCTTCATCGGCGTTTTGCCTCCCTCGCGACTCGTCGACCGTTCAGTCGCATTTCCTTTTGCAGTCACTGTCGCCTCACCACCTTTCTTAGCCGTCAACGTCGGTGCACCACTTTTCGTCACCGACGGACCGTCCACCGTCAAATCACCAAATTCCTCTTCTACTACAAAGGCCGCCGTCGGACCACCGTCTCTTTTGTCGTGGTCATCGTGCGACGTCTCTTCGGGTCCCGTCACCGACACCAGCGGGTGATCGACGTTGCCTTCAACTTTTGCCTTCACTGATGCTTGACCGTCCGTTAATCGTATACCATCAGGGTTGGAGTCCACGTTCTCCACGGTTGTTTTTGGTTTCCTGTATAATGATGCATAATATATTATTATATTGAGATATCTATGATTGTAGCGCACACAGTAATCTACGTTAACACATTATTTGTTTTAAAAGACAATAATGGTTCAATACCGTAAAATTGATTAACTCGGAGCTTAGGACTTTGGTTGAAAAAACAGAATTTGTTTGTTACGCCACGAATGTGTGTATCGCACATACTTGTTAGTATTGTTATAAAAACAACTTTGCATTCAAATATTTTATCCCTATGTGGGTTCGTATTAAATAATGTACGAAATATTTATGCCTTATGGTGTAAACCTGATACATAGGGTGTTACGACAGAATAAAGAAAGAACCGACGGATGTAATTGACTATTTACCTACCTATATGCAATAACTTTTAAGTTTTAATTATTCTTTTCAATTATATAATTACATCTTATGTTAAATTATAACCGTTTATAATTATTAATTATATACCTACTTATGATATTAATTGGAACAAAAACTATTACATATATTTAATTAATCACAATTGGCAGTTATTTATGTTACACTCTGACAGTCTGACATGATATATAATTTGATATCTTCCGTGCGCGGTCAAAAGGAGTTAAGTAGGTAACATTTTTATGTATTTTATTTCTGATGAATAGGTAATCTATTTTTTTATAAAATCAGATTAAGTCAAACTCTTTTCCTCTTTAAGTCATAACACTTGGTATTTAAGAGCTATCTTATTTTAATACGATTTGTGGTTTATTTGATTTAAGTCGACATATATAAATTTTATCAACAAAATGCCAATACTATTTACGATCATAAAAGGTTAAGTTGACCTAAATAATCATTTTAATCTAGATATAATCTATATCTAAGATAGATTCAACAAGGTACCTCCTACCTCCTACCTAATACCTATAACCTATATATAAACTAAGAGCTGGGTTTTTTATGAAGCTTGGTAAAATACCCAACTAGGTTTGTTTTTCTGTAATATCAAATTAAATTTAAAAATTGTCCCTAGTAAATGTCTTCAACAATATGTGGTAGATACTACGGAGATATCGAAATTTTACCTATATGAAATTTTATATTATATGATCCACACAAAAACAAATTTTTGTTACATCGAATGCTGTGGTTTAACTTTCCCGGACACCCCCTAATCACGACAATGCATAGCGCATATATTATATAATATAGAAAATGGGTCATTAAAAACTCACACGCCGTCCCGGTCGAGTTCGTCGGGAGCTGAGTTTGCTCCGATGGGTTTGTCACTACCACCGCCGCCAACCTCGCCGGACGTCGTCGCTTTAGCTACGATTCCGTCCGTGCGTGATTCTTGTTGGTCGTCGGCGGCAGTATTCGCTTTGGACGTCGCCTTATCACGTCGCCGACGTCCTCCGCCGCTACCGCCCCTAGTCGCTATCCTGTTACCACGGCGCCTATTCCTGTGCAGTCGTCTGCTGCTATCACAGTGATCGGCCGCCGCCGCCGCAGCCGAACCGTTTGTCTGTTCTTCGACGGCGCCGTCTGCACAGTCATCGTCACCGTCATCAACGTCATCTTCGTCATCGTCCTCGTCGTCATCGTCGTCGTCATCGTAGTGGTCGTCGTCGTCGTCATAATCGTAGTCGTAGTCGTCGCCGTCGCCGCCGTAACACATATCGTTTTCACTGAAACATTCCTTTGGCTCTTTGGCAACGCCGGTCGCCTTTTTCCGATGGGCTTTCGGTAACGTACCGCCTCCACCGCCGCACGACTTCCTGTCGTCTCGCGACTTGCCGACTGTTTTCGTCAACACGTTTGCCCTTATGTGAACCTGTGTGGATTATATAACATACTGTGTATACAAAGTATATACCTATATAGGTACGAAGGTGTGAGAAGGACTCTAGCACTTTGGAAATCAATCACACATTTGCACCGATAACTGCTCAGTGCTCTACAGATGGCTCTCATTGAAAATATACGATTTACAGGTGAATCAGTCGTTTGCTGTGGAATGATTTATACGTGTGTTAGGCGTTTTCACCCAACCTCATCATCAGTCATCACTGAAATGTACTCGATGTAGTTATACACATCAATTAAGTCAAAGGCCATAGTTGCGAAATGGCTTAAATACCCAAATCAGCTTTTTATGTAGGAACATTTTGTACTAATATTTTCATTTTTTACAGGTCAGTGACATCAATTTCAAGGATTGGTGGTCAGAGATGATAAGATGATACGCAGTATGATATAATAGGAGTTAAAAACTAATATAATTACCATTTGTTTGTGTATTTCCATATTGATCTTTCTTAACTCTTTCATTTTTTTTAGCTTTTTTTTGTATTCTAATGAAGTAAAACTATTTAAATTCCTGCATTGCGTTTATAATATAAACTTATAATATATAATTCAATTTGTATTTGAATAGTTCACTAGTTTTTATTTTTAAGTCTTAACAATAATGACTAATTTATGTAGAGATATCGTAATAAGACACAACTCGCCAGTAAATACCTTTATATTTATAGATATAGTTACTACTTAGGTACCTACTAACTAAAAAACGATTTTCTCTTATTACCCCAACCACATGAGTACGAAGTAGTAATCTAAACAGCAGAGCCGGCCTTAGGCAGGGGACAGCGGGGCTTCGCGTATTTATATGAAATTTTGGGCCCCGTGTTATAAATAAATAATAATTATATATTCTGAAGACTCCCCTGAAAAAAACTTCCCCATGCCTACCTAAACCCTGAGGCTAGTCCTGCTAAATAGAAACTAACCGACAATTAAACATTAAAACTTTTAGTAAAATAAATCTAGCCCCCCCCCCCCCCCAGAGAACAGTTCAGCCTCCTCACAAGCCCCACCACTGACAAAGTTATAAAACATTATTCTTAAAAGCAAGGCTTGAAACCGTAAATATTTTTTCCTATTTCGGTTTCGGTTATCGGTATTTATTTTTTCCGATTTTGATTTCGGTTTTGAATATTGGTATTTATATTTTTCGATTTCGATTTTGACTATCGGTATTGATTTTTTTCGATTTTTTTTTCGGTTTCAGTATCGTTTTTGGTTTTTAAAATCAGTATCCAATATTGGTTTCAAGTTATATACTTTTTAAATATTTTTTTAATTTATGGAAATACTTTCGTATACTTTAATTACCAATCCCAATTACTTTAGTTTATATCTATGAAATGTAGGTAAGTAAAAGAAACATACATAATTTTTCAATCACAAAGGTATGCGTAATATTAAAGTCATAAAGAAATTATCATTTTTGTACATAATTATTCATTATGAATATAGTTGTTGAAGGTCTGTGATTAAACATTTTCTTACTACCATAAGCTATCACTAACATTTACTTAGGTACTTATTTTTACTACCCACAATGTTGCTCCACTCAGAATATAATATGTAGGTAGTTATTACTTATTAGTTATTACTTATTAATGATTTATTTTATAGTGGTAGAAACCGATCAATTTATTATTAGTCATTATTATAGTCAGACAGTCAATAGACATTTTCTACAAGCATTTTCAATGTACATTTAAAGGTACACTTGGAAGTACATCGATTGCTTAATAAACATGCAGATGGTCTCATTTGAGACTAGGACACTCGCAGATCATTATTGTTGCTGCGCTACTTACAACACGTCACTTGGTGACATGCACATTGGGTTGATATTGATTTTCTCTATCTTATTCAGTGGCACCGAAGTTATTAAGTCGGCCAGTTTTAAAACTTAACGGTCTCAATATATTTATTATTTAACAGTATATATAGAGCCATATATGTACCCTAATATACATTTACTCATAACCATGAGTTAAATATACTCATGTTCATAATAAAGTTATGATGTATTTAATGTATATAAAATGGACTTCGACGCCGCTGATCATATTATAAGCATACAACTGAATATTATTTAGGTACTATTTAATAATAATTAAACTAATGAATACGACTGCTAAGCGTGCATAATGCTTAATTATTGCTTATATACTTTGTGCTGTGCACCAGTACCACAACACGAGAATTTTCTTACGTCACAAAGTTTTTTATTTTTTTTAACAAGTTTAACTTTCTAAGGAGTGATTTCAATACTATTAATAGTAATAGACAATTTTACTTACTTGAACTACACGACCTTTCGATGTTTTATTAGGTTTCGGGCTCTCGGCTTTGCGAGAATTTTGTTGTTTTTTCCGACCACCGCCGTTACGATATTTACGGTTAATTGAATCAGATGAATATGAATTTCTTCGAGATTCAATTCTAAAAAATAAATATTCAGTAGGACACAAATAGTAGAAACTTCATTGTAGCTTGAGAATAATTGATTTTTAAATATTTTTATACAAGCCTAGTATATATATGTATGTACCGTAGTACCTACATAATATACGCAGTTTATGACGTGTTCGCTAACCACAAAACGTACAAATGTTAGTACCTAATATATAATTAATAAAGTTACAAGATAAAAAAAAATTGCTCAACTTAACACTATTAACATTAATAGCCGAATTGAGGTTTCAATTATATAAAAATACACGGTGTAACAAATGTTACTAAATAAATATCGTCTATTCTTATTAAAATTTGTTTTAATACCTACATAAATATTAAATTCTAACAACCATAAAAAATAAACTTAAACAAATTATAGGATAAAAGTTATTACATAATATTATAATTTAGTTCATCTTCCAGTTATTTCTGTAACACTCTATATTTAGCTATTATGTCTAAGTAAATATTATACAACCAACCTTTTAGTCTTAACACGTACAGTAGATTGTTGTTTAGACAATGTTTTATTTAACTTGCTAGCTGGTTTACCACCAAAAAGATTTAAAAACTTCGCTAAATGCCTATTGTTTTTTCGTAGAGCTACATCAAGTGGTGTCATTCGTTCTCCTTTGATTTTCATTACTGGGTTAATTGATGCTCCGTTATCTAAGATAATCTGTATAAATTATTATAGATTAAATCAGATGTTTCAATAAAGTTTCAACAAATAATTGTATACTATATTGAAAACTAACTACAAACTGCTTATGTTAAACATAGAATCAAAAATAATATGTTCATTTTGTAATCAGAAAAAAACCTCGGAGTTTATACATTAATACATTATAAGTACTGTAGATTAGGAAGTTTAGGTATCTACATTCTACATATTATTGTATATTTATCATTGTATGTAAGCGGTTTTTTAAAATTCACCAACGATTTTTATTTTGAACAACATCTATCTACGGCAGTAGTTTCAAATTTGGTATTAGTGAGTGTCTTAGTACAGACATGTTTTGCAAATTTCAACCATTTTTAAAATTATTACCACATAATAAAGATCACATATTAGTCTTGTCGGATACGAATTACACCAGTGGTATGCAACCTAAAGATCCCAAACATTTAATAAGAGGCCGACAAAAACTTAATACTATATGATAACCATTATTGTTTTATTGGATTTGTAGAAAAAATTGTAGTATATGATATTTGTACTAAAGAAGTAAATCCAAATTTAAGTTTAAAAATAATCGGAATCTAGGTAATACATTTCAAGAAACTAGGTAACTGTGATAAATGTTGGACTTCCATTAAATCTGATCAGAAATATATCCAGAAATATCAAAATAGTCAATATAATCTTTAATTTCATTTACCATTCAGTTAACTAAATGTTCAGATTTTCTGCATTATGGTTATAATAAAAAAACAAATATCTGCCAAGATTGAATGTTGAAGACAATTAAAAGCACAGTTAAAAATATGAAACCTAACATAGAAACAATTGTATCAAATATCCAAAAACAAGTCAATCCTTAAGTTTAAATTTGTCATTTTATTATTTTATGATTAAAATTATTATCTATATAAATTGTTCGGTAATTTTATTAAACTTAAATTTATTAAATGGATTTGTATACCTAATTGATAACTGATAATTTCAGGGAAAATAATTTTGGTGGTGAATTTTACACTAAGTATTTGTTTTTACGGTAATTTATAATCAAAAGTTCAAACAATTTTATTCAATATGTGGCATGTTAAACCGAAATATTATATAATATAATACAAAATATATACAATATTGGCGTAATAATCAATAGTTGAGCATTTAAAGATGTTATTCGACTCAATTATGTACCTATATTGCCTATACATAACGCCGTGTAACGCATTATAAACTAAAAAAGGTGGGCAAGTGGGTGTCGCTCTGCTGTACAGTAGGTTACAAGTGGGTCACTGTATAATGGATGATATTAAATTTGAATTCAACGATATAATATCATTGTATAAGAAAAACGATTCTGAGCGGAGACAGTATGTCCGTCTAGGTATAAGACATATTATATACATTATACATATCTATGGTATTAAACCAAAATTTGACCTATAATAGGTAGGTACCTATAATAAATTCCAAAATTAATCATATCAAAATATCCATTAGGTACTTATAACGCGTTATACATCAACAAAAACCGTGATACTATCATAGATATATAATAGTACACTTTAGAAGTTTCAAGTATCCACGAATAATATTATTCAATCACAACAAAATAACTAAAATAGTTATTCTAGGTTTTTTAATATGTAATTTCGTCCAAATTTGAATTTAAAATGTCTGTAAAAAATAACTGTGTTCATATATTTTTTAGATTTTTTGGTTACAGTATGAACTATTTACGAGAACCTTTGTGTTGAATTTGCAATCATTAGCTATAAAAACTGAACATTTTATAACTTATTAATTACAATGATTGATAATTTTCGAGATTTTGATAAATTTTGTCAAAATTCCAACTTTAAATGCTTTTAAAAAAAAACTGTGCCTATGTATTTTTAATATTTTTCAACTGATATTGTAACAATATATCAGGAGCCTTGTATTAACCCTTTCATTACCCATTTAATTGTACTCGACCAATATTTTAGATTCTGAGTGAAACGATGAATGTATTGATTTTACAATGATGTGTGTTTTTTTATTTTTTTTTTATTTTTTTTTTATTTTTTATTTTTTTTTGTGTCTGTCATCACGTTTTAGGGCAGTAAAAGTGCTTGGATTTTCTTCATCAGTAGCTTTTCTGATAGGAAAGTGAATCTAGGTGGTACTTTGGGGGGTCAAAAGTATAAATTTCCCGGTAGTTTTCACAAGCGCCGGGAAAAACAACATAATAATTAAGGAAAAACGGGAATTTTTACGCAAAATTGGTTTTCCAAAAAATCGATTTTGGTTTTTGGTGTAACTCTAAAACAAATGAACGTATATATATGAAATTTTCACTGGTTGTTTATATTTGCATTTTCTATACACGATAACATTTTCAAAATATTTTGATTTATTTTGAACTGTTTAGGGACATTTTCATTTTCCATTTTTTCTTAGTTTTTTTCCTAAAAATATCAATAAAATTTTATTTGTTGGTTGCCAAAGCTTGAAAATTTAATAGAAGGCTCCTAATATATTGTTTCAAAGGCAGATGAAAAATATTAAAAATCCTTAGTCACAATTTTTTTTATAAGCATTTAAAATTCAAAAATTGACAAAATATGGGAAAATCACGAAAATTAGCAAATTATTTAGAGTTAAGAATTCGTAAAATTTTTCTTTTTAAATCTAAGATTTGAAAATTAAACACAAGATTCCTTATAAGTTTGTCTACCTTTATCAAAAGAAAAATGTCTATAAGAAAGTCAAATTAAATTTTTATGAGCGTTTGAAATTCAAATTTTTACAACATTGAATATTCACTCGATTTCCCATGTAACGATTTCCTTATTTTGTTGTAATTCAAAAACAAATAACTGTAGATACATGAAAATTTCACTGAATGTTTATATTAGCATTTCCTATACACCATACAATTTTGAAAATATTTTGACTCTTTTTGAGCTGTTTATGGACCTTTACAGCTTTCAATTTTTTTTAGTTTTTTTTTCTATAAATATCAATAAAGTTTTATCTGTTGGGCCAAAAAGTGTAAAAATTTAATACAAGGCTCCTGATATATTGTTACAATATCAGTTGAAAAATATTAAAAATACATAGGCACAGTTTTTTTTTATAAGCATTTAAAGATCAAATTTTGACAAAATTTATCAAAATCTCGAAAATTATCAATCATTGTAATTAATAAATTATAAAATGTTCAGTTTTTATAGCTAAGGATTGCAAATTCAACACAAAGGTTCCCGTAAATAGTTCAAACTGTAACCAAAAAATCTAAAAAATATATGAACACAGTTATTTTTTACAGACATTTTAAATTCAAATTTGGACGAAATTACATATATAAAACCTAGAATAACTATTTTAGTTATTTTGTTGTGATTGAATAATATTATTCGTGGATACTTGAAACTTCTAAAGTGTACTATTAGTTATCTATGATAGTATCACGGTTTTTGTTGATGTATAACGCGTTATAAGTACCTAATGGATATTTTGAAATGATTAATTTGTAATTTATTATAGGTACCCATTATAGGTCAATTTTTTGTTTAATACCATAGATATGTATATAATACCTATGTCTTATACATAGACTGACATACCATCTCCACTCAGAATCGTTTTTCTTATACAATGATATTATATCGTTGAATTCAAATTTAATATCATCCATTATACAGTAACCCCCTTGTAACCTACTGTACAGCAGAGCGACACCCACTTAATCTATAATCTATAATCTATTATCTTAATCTATACAATTTAGCGAACAATTAAAATGTAAAATAACGTCATTGTAATCAAATGTTGATGTTCAGTAATGAATATAAATGCATGTCCATTTACACTTTTTGAGCCAACAGATAAAACTTTCTTGATATTTATAGAAAAAAAAACTAAAAAAAACTGAAAGCTGTAAATGTCCATAAACAGCTCAAAAAGTGTCAAAATATTTTCAAAATTGTATGGTATATAGGAAATGCTAATATAAACATTCAGGGAAATTTTCATGTATCTACAGTTATTCGTTTTTGAATTACAACAAAATAAGGAAATCGCTACATGAGAAATCGAGTGAACATCCAATGTTGTAAAAATTTGAATTTCAAACGCTCATAAAAAATTTAATTTGACATTCCGGTAGAGATTTTTTTATTGATAAAGGTAGACAAACTTATGAGTAATCTTGTATTACATTTTCAAATCTTAGATTTAAAAAGAAAAATTTTTACGAATTCTTAACTCTAAATAATTTGCTAATTTTCGTGATTTTCCCATATTTTGTCAATTTTTGAATTTTAAATGCTTATAAAAAAAAATTGTGACTAAGGATTTTTAATATTTTTCATCTGCCTTTGAAACAATATATTAGGAGCCTTCTATTAAATTTTCAAGCTTTCGCAACCAACAAATAAAATTTTATTGATATTTTTAGAAAAAAAACTAAAAAAAAATGGAAAATGAAAATGTCCCTAAACAGTTCAAAATAAATCAAAATATTTTGAAAATGTTATCGTGTATAGAAAATGCAAATATAAACAACCAGTGAAAATTCCATGTATATACGTTCATTTGTTTTAGAGTTACACCAAAAACCAAAATCGATTTTTTGGAAAACCAATTTTGCGTAAAAATTTTCGTTTTTCCTTAACTTTTATGTTGTTTTTCCCGGCGCTTGTGAAAACTACTGGGAAATGTTTACTTTTGACCCCCCAAAGTACCAACTAGATTCACTTTCCTATCAGAAAAGGTACTATTGAAGAAAATCTAAGCACTTTTACTGTCCCAAAACGTGATGACAGACACAAAAAAAAATATAAAAATATAAAAATATAAAAATATAAAAAAAAAAACACACATCATTGTAAAACCAATACATTCATCGCTCCGCTCAGAATCTAAAATTTTGCAATATTACGGTTTATTTATTTGTTAATAACTAAATTAAGTACTTGAAGATTGTTACATTATTTTAATATAATATAACACAATAATCCACAAACTGCAGTTTAATATTATTCGAACAACTATATATTAATGTTTAAATACAGACTGAATAACAATTAACAACCAAATAAATTTTTTTTCTTTTTTAGATATCTTGCACAATAATATAATCTCTCCTGTGTTCTTCCGGATATTGTTCCCGATGTATAGGTACGTGGTGATACAATATATTATAAACATTTACTTTGTTTATTATTATTATTTTTGACTTACAATTAAAATTACCTCAATTTTTAATATGTATTAACCAATAATTTATAAGAAATATAAATCATAATACTCAAATAAAAACGCATTTACCTACTATTATATAAATATGTTAGTATAAATAATTAGTCTACCTTACTCATTTCCAAATTGTTGTTAAGAGCAGCGATATGCAATGGTCGTTTACCGTCGTCATCATAATAATCTACGGACTCTGGACGCATTGATATCAACCAAAGGACTAACTCCTTGCGACCCGACCTCATAGCGTCGTGTAATGGATAACCACCCTTTGAGTTCCGCAACCATAAATTGGCACCGTGTTCAGCTAAAAGTCGGACCGTTTCCAATTGACCTTTAAATGCACCGCAATGGGCTGGCCTTAAACGTACAAATATAAATAATTCCAATAATAATAATTGCTATACGTCGTGATGAGAAGTGATAATGACATCTGACATATAAGAGTAAGCCTCTAATTAAAGCTAAATATTATTGCAACAAATTATCAGTGAATTGAAAAGTTATTTTTTGAGTGTGTAAATTAATAGGTCTACCCACCCCCCCCCCCTTCCACGAATTGCTGTTTGGAACGGCCCTGTGTGTAGGAGTTTGCATTACAATTGCACCTCTTGAAAACAGTTAATCGTCGTTGTACAGTGTAAACCCTTTTTAGGTAATATACTATGTTGTGTATATAAGAAAAAACCGCCTTTTTTATAATATGTTGAATATATCATAGTAACTCTGTTAGATATACGAGTTACAGACACCATAACGATTGGGAATTGTAACGCCTTTATAAGCACCTATATTATACTGAACAGTATTTTTACTATTGAATAGTCTTATCGTTGCTTATTTAAAAAAATTCTAAAAAACTACTTTTCCATTTCGCATGATTAGCGCATACGCTGCAATATAGTGATCGTCTTACGTTCTTCCTTTGCCGTCCTGTCGATCGGGATTAGCTCCATGTTCCAATAGCATCTCAGTCGCGTCCGCATGGCCTAATGTCACGGCGTAGAACAGAGCTGAACAACTGTTGCTGTCCACCGCGTCGACTTCACATCCACACAACGTCAAAAGTCCGTCCACGCATTCCACGTGTCCTCGACTGGCCGCACAGTGCAACGCTATTCGAGAACGACGACATTTGATTATTGTTTACGAAATGCATTTATCATGATCAATCGCAGCGAGCGACGATCGCAAATCGATGATTATATTGTATTGAAATAATGTCAATATTATGGATCGTCGTATTGGTATTATATTATAAATTTATAGCCTTATAGATCATTCGATCAATCATTGTAGATGCCACCTGCTAGTTTACCACCTGCAGTTTAGCTGAACCTAAAGGCTAAACTTGTACATAAACTGAAGCGATTGTTTCGTACAATAATTTTAGTCATTATATATTGGGTCCTAAGTCAATAATTATAATTTATAAATAACTTTTGCCAGTTTGGTTCATGGTAATATTATTGTATGATGAGGTCGACGCCACTACCCATGGATAGGTTAGGTTAGGTTAGCTATACCATTGATTATATAATATGCACGTTGCACATACATAGATATTAGGTATTATTATTATAGTATATTTTCAAACTAAAAGTAACCTCAACAACATTTAACACCCCAATTTTCAAGTCTCCGATTTTCTGTTCCGATTTGTAAGCAGTTACCTGTCAGTCCGTCTTTGTCATGCGATTCGACGTTTGCTCCACCGTTCACCAAAGTTATGATAGCATCCGCACTACCTGAACAAATTAAATTAAAACCATTTAATGTAATAATTTGAAACCGTAAGAGTTTCTGAATATTATACATAATAAAAAAGACCAAACAATAATTATAAAATAGGCAAAGTATAAAAATAAAATATGTTTAGGTACTTCATATTTTCTTAGCAATTAACAAATATTTCGAATTTGTTCGTTACCTAATACTATTTACTCGAATTGATTGTTGAATAGTCACATTATATAAAATATATTATATAGCTAGTGCGCTACCTATGTTCCACGTCATATTATTATACACAGTTGTTGTATATCTTCCAAAAACCATTCAAACATTCAGGTAATCATCAATTATTTATAATAAATAAAAAAATACCTATATAATATATACCGAGGTATAAAGTTATTACATAATATATAGATTCTGAGTTCAAATAATATTATAGTTATGATATATATAGGTATTGATTATCGATATTATATAAGTTATAGCCTATACGCCATAGCCCATAGGTGATCGATATAATGATACATGGTATAATATATATTGCAGTAGCGTCATTAAATGTTCATTAATACTTGTAACCATACATTAGTTTGTAATTATTTACCCCCCCCCCCTAAAATTTGTTTTTATGTAGGATATGCGCCTGGCCATGCCTGCGGTAAATTGAACTGGCGAAATGTAACGATTAGCTTCTATCCTTAATAATTAATATATTATACAATTCTAAATTCGTAGACGAATTTTGTATTCGAAATGCAAAATTAGAATTGTACCTACAACAACTGCAAACACAACAATACCAAACATTATTACAGAATCATTTTTTTTAATACAGTTGAGAAAAATATTAATAAATAATACCTACACAATATATTTTTATTAAAACGTGTTTACTTCGAGGAGACGTGGCCAGACCAGCGAATCACAAACGTCCTGACGTTTGTCTCGGTATTGCTTTCCAACCCAGCTTTCAAAAACTTATTATGGGCGTGAACAAATGCCTCCCCCCCCCAAAAAAAAAAAACAAAAATTGCCACGCCACTTATATATTATGCTTTGGCGATGGTTCGTAAATCGTTTATACCCGCGCTGGCCGCCCACAAAATCGGTTGGCGTCCGTGTTTGTCGGCCACGTGGACGTCGGCGCCGAACGACAGTAACAGCTGCAACACGCGGACACCGGTGTTCCGAGCATCGCCTGAACGACACGCTCCGTTGCCGCACATCTGAGCCGCGTAATGGACGGCGTATCCGCCGTGCACGTCTGCCGAACTGGTTGTGCCGCCGTGGCTGAGCACCAACTCGAGAGCATCCACATCTGCGCACACTGCGAACATAATATAGACACGGACAAGTGGTGAGACGATTCGTCAGCGGAAACAATCAAATTATATTATAATATTATACTAGCCGACACGGCTTCGACCGTGATTGGTTGTTTACTTTGCCTTCGAACAGATGATATTATCTGTAATTTTTTATTAAAATTGTATCGTTTAATGTGATCGGCAAGTAAATATAAAAAAAAACCGGCCAAGTGCGAGTCGGACTCTCGCACGAAGGGTTCCGCACCATCATCTATAAACATGTTGGCAACAACACTTTTTATAATCTATATTCTAGGATTTTTAGTATTTGTTGTTATAGTGGCAACAGAAATACATAATCTGTGAAAATTTCAACTTTCTGACTTTTATGGTTCATGGGATACAGCCTGGTGACAGACGGACAGACGGACGGACGAACGGACAGCGGAGCCTTATAGTAATAGGGTCCCGTTTTACCGTACGGAACCTTAAAAACGGTTAATGAAAACGTGTTGAAATGTTTCTAGTGGTATTAATGGTAAATATATTTTTATAGCAGAACCCGTGCATTTCATTACCAGTAAAAAATCAAAAATCTTTAAAAAAAATTATGATTGTTCAACTACTTTTGGGCGTAATTTGCTGCAGTAAGGGCAACTGTTTCACCAATCACCTTGGTAGGCAATGTTCAATAATTCGATTTGATGCAAGCTTGCACCTGATCTGCCCAAATAACCAATGGCAACCGATAATCAATAAACACTGATTTCTACTGTTAACTGTAACCAATCGGAATTATTAATAAATAAAAATAAAATTGCCATTGTGAACCTCAATTTCCCTATTTGAGCACCTCTTTAAATGCGAATTTTGGCAAATTCTTTCTTATTGCACGGTTAAAGTATAGAAGCACCACTATTCCAAATTTCAAGTTCGTACGTTGAGTAGTTTTTGAGATACAGCTATCAGTGAGTCAGTGGTATTTGGATTTTAGGTATATAATATATATATTCACTCCAACAAGAAAATTTAAAATCGGGCGACGTGGTGACACTCAGCCACTCAGGAAAGTATTTGGAATAACTCTGTGAAAAAAAATTGGAAAAATATTAAATAGTGTCGTCACATAATCGGAACAATAAAAATACAATCTTTAAACTTATTATTTTTATTAATAAAAGTAGTATTAAAACTTTCAGCAGACTGTCAGGTATAACAGTAAAAAATTTCAGCCAAATCGGTTCAGTAGTTTTCTTGGTTAGCACGTTCGTAGAAAACCCCTTACAATTTTATATAATAGTATAGATTATATATTTTATGCGACAGGGTATACAAAGTTTTTTTACGATTTACAATTTATAATTTCGTATAAAATTTTAACTTTAAAAATGTATAAAAAATTACTTCTATGTATTTTCGATATTTTTAACTGTTCATAAATCGATCGTGTCGAAAACTACTGTTGCGTCTTGCGTAAATATTCCGGTTTCCGTTATTAATGTTTTCCGAATATTAAGAAAAGTATTGGAAATTTTCTACTTACGACTTCCAAAAAAACCTACTTAGGTTTCAGACAACATTTCTACCAAAATAAATACTCTTAATACTGAATTTTTAAGAATTTTTTCTTCTTTAAAAAGTGTCGTCACACAAAAAAACTCATTATTACACCAAATGGATTTTCTGGATTGATATTATTTCATGCAACAATTTAATTTAGTTTATATGATTCGTAAGTCGTAATAATTATGATGGAATTTAAATAAAAACTATATTGAATTTTTTTTTTAAACAATAGTCAAATGTTTATAATATATTAAGAATAATCTGAACTGTTAAAAATAAAATGATAGAATCTAATGCATAAAACATTTGTTAGACTATACGTATTTTTAATGTGAGGGGTTAGGTATAATACATACGGAAAATGTAGAGCTCATAGGAAATATTTTTAAATATTCATTTGAAACATTAACAAACTTATGGTAGATATACCTATACATAACGGTAAATTACTATGTAGATATATTTTTTAATGACCCTACCCAAGATGATACACCACGCAATATGTTATAAATAATTTAAAAGTTATTGATTTTAAGCTGACTGTAAAATAAATATTTATATTTATCAGTGACCCAGTAAAAAGGAAGTCTAAAAATGCATCAGACGCAGTAGATGTCGTGAGTACCTCGTCATTGAGTAGGTCACTGTAATGGATGAGTTAAAATTTAATTCAATGATAAATCATTGCACACGAAAAACGATTCTAACTTCTGAGCGGAAACGGACTGTCAGCTCATATTTTATTATACACTTTATATTGCTATTATAGTAATTTATTTTTCTATTAGTATAATACAGTTAATATTCAATAGGTCGAAGTAATTTTTACCAAAAACAAATAGTGCCTGTTATTATAATATTACATATTTTTTCGTTTTCTCGGATGGTTTTGAGAATTACATTTTACTTTTGACCCTCAAACGTACCATATAGATCTCATTTTCTACCATTTATCAACCTTAAAGTTGAGATTAAAAGCATTTAATACTCAACTCATAATTTAAAAGTTAATATTACATTGGAAAATCTCAAAAATAAGTACAACTGTACAAGATATTTATATACATATATTTTTAAATCGCATTTTATTTTGCTATTTTGTGTCACATTCACCCAATAAATTTTTAGTTTACTATAGCTCTGCTATATTTCTGACGTAAACTAAGTAATCGAAAGAAAGGTCTATATAGGTTTTACATGCCATCAATTATCAATAGACAATAATTATTATTTTACAAAACACTATATTGTGTAATATAATAAATTTAAGTAAATAGAAACTTGTACATAGATAAACCATTATTGTATTTATATTGTGTATATGTTATAAAATTGTTGCTAACGTGTGACTCATTTCATATATTCATAATATACCTATTATAATGTCATATACTCATATATTTTAATAAGTTAATTTATTATGCACTTACACCTGTTTACAGTTTACGGCACGATACCGACTTTTTTTTATACGAGATAATTTATAAACATGATAAAATAAAATAATTCAAGAAATATATCAAAATCTATAATCAAATAATTATTATCATTGCGTCATTATTATGAGAAACTATTAATTTTCAATGTTCTTACCCGCGTTATACACTTATCGATACGCAGCTTGAACATTTTTCTGTTTCCCCATTCCCTATAATATAGAACATATTGATTTCGAAACTAATTATTAATTGTTATACCTATATATTTAAAAAAGGTATATATTATTATAGTTCTATTGTATTTTGAATAAAAACTTATGGAGAATGACTACCTACCTATGAAAGTTTTTTTTTCATAGTCACGCGATCTTCAATAAAACAATTCCAGTTATTCAAGTTATGTAGCTTAGAATAATAATATATTAAAATTATATTTCCCTATACCTTCTTGTGGTCGTTTTATTATTAGCAATATACCTATGTTGAATACTGATTTTTTTTTTATTTCATAGACATATTATGTAAGTATTAAAGTCAATAGTCATATTGAAATATTATAAAAAACAAATATAAACCAAACTATTATATCTTTTTTTATTTTATATTTGAAATAATTTACAATCTATACAACGTTAAGTACAAAAAGCAATTAATTTGATATTTAATGGTAAGTGACAGGAGAATTTAAAATTTGTGGGCAGGCACTCAGCAGCACAACCCGGCTGGGTAAATATTAAGTATCAAGGGATTTTTTTTTTTTAGTAGGTCTCTAGGTCACTGTCTTACATACATTACCAGGAAGTGAGGTGGAAGAAAGTTGTTTTATTAATGGGTTACTGTGAGAGGTTAAGTTGGTGTGAAATTTAAAGTAATATAATTTTACTAATTGATTGAGTGTAGGAACCTAACCTAAGTCTTTGTGAAAAATGAAGATTATTGTTTGTGAAGTACCAAGGAGAGGATGTTATCACTCGTAGGCAGATGGATTGAAAAGCCTGAAGCATTTTGGTATTGGATAAATAAATTGTATATGACTATATTACAGTAATATATGTGGCCCTAATTATGTTAGGCCCCGAGACTTCAGCCCCACTACTCACTAGCCCCCCCCCCACTAAATAGGGCTCTGCACATCACAATACTATTTATTATAGGGTAACCTAACGAAATATCTACTATAAATCTATTGGCTGTAATTACGAATAATTATAGGTTATAATAGTCGATACATATTTATTTATTATTATTATTTATTATAATCAACGCCAGACGGCTTTTACAAAATAACAGACAAGAAGAACATAGATAACAGTATGAAACATTTACAATATATTTAAGATGCATAACTTATACTAAATTAATTATAGAGAGAAGAAAAAGAATTAGTAAGTAATTAAAACAAAAAAACAATGTGGTGTAAGTAATGTAAAAAAAAAAATAAAAAAATAAAAAAAAATGTGAGCCTTCGTACTACATATGGCTTAATAGTCTATATGATTATTTGCATTATGCATCATTCGTATAAGTGGGGCATTCCTGGAGAAGTTTGATTTATTGGTGGGTATATAAAAATTACATTGAAGCCTAGTGTTACTGGGAATACGAAAGCTAAGTTCTCCAAGTAGTCTTGGGGCATCAACTTGACCTTCGATCAGACGCTGAATAAAAGTGATATCAAAATTATCACGCCTTACAGAAAGGGGAACTAGTCTCAGAGCTTGACTTAATGGCCCATAATCATGTGGTGGATGAGGAATGTTGAGGCAATAACCGGCGAAACGCATAAAACTGTTTTGTACACGATCAATCCGACAAATGTCAACTGTGGTATATGGTGACCAAACAATAGACCCATATTCAATGACCGAACGGACTAAAGCATTATAGAGAGCTAGAAGGCAATTGGCAGAACTAAAATTGGTTGAGTGACGCCTTATGAAACCCAAAGCTCGAAAGGCTTTGCTGGTCATAAAATCAATATGAGGGCTAAAATTAAGAGAAGGTACAAATAAAATGCCTAAATCA